ATATGATGTTGCCAAGGAGAGATTTGAACACCTAGAGAGAAGCATAAGAATGTCATGTTCCTGCATGGTTTCAGTGCAGGATCAAGAAAGGGTGTGGCTGAACACAATGTCTTCTACTGTGAAGTGTGTATGTGGATCCAGTTCTCACCTGAGGTTGGTCTCCTCCAAGGCTGTCTGTTACACCTGACATTTAACACTGGATACGTCCCAGCTCCCAACACCAGTGTCCCATCCCGTTTCGCATAAGAACACTGTTTCTGCAGTGATATCATCACCCTGAAATTATCAAAAGGATCATAACCCAGTTTAAAAGAGCTTATTTAGCCACAAAGTTGAGAATGACCATTTGGGTAACACAGACCCCAAAGAATGGGGTCATTGCTCCGACACTGAAACATTAAGGACTTGTTTATATATGTGGAAAGCAAATAAATTTAAGAGGATTACATTTTCCATACAAATATGGCTTGTCAGTTATAGTAATTTGAATAGTTACAGCTTGTTCATTTTCTTTCTTTTTCAATTTGAAAGAGTATATTTAACATTCCAGCCTAGACAGCACGTTAGTCCTGACGTTTTTGTGTAAGAGAAGCAAAACGTAAGTTAATCTATGATGAAGATCAACAATGAAGTGGGAAAAGGTCTTCTCTTGCATCCTGTGGTTTTTTACAACATTTTTAAAAACAATATAATTAAATAAAAGGGTTATTATAATAAGAGAAACAAAGATTACAGCAGCCTAGGTTATAGCTGCCTGTTACATGACTCAGATCCCATGATCACATTCCTTTACGGCTCAATAGTCCAACATCTTTCATTTTGAATTCCTTATTTTTACAATATGTATATGTGAATTATGGGATCAACATGTGGAATACCTATTATTAGTTGTACACAGCAAGTTGAATAAAATATAATATGTCTATGAATGTCATGAGTTGTGTATGTCTTTTGGGTTTGTATATACAGAAAATTACAGAAAAAAACATTATATCACTGAAAATTTTAAGGCATGCATAGAGCTTCATAGATGTATTCTCTCTGTGATGTGTACTTGTAATTTCAGTTCCCATAAAGGAGTTATGTCTTCTTATGGCTAATGATAAGTTAAAAGTTATTTGATATAATAGAGAGTATACTAAACTTGGAATTTGGTGTAGAAAGTTCGACTTCCTCAATATGTGACTTGGACAAATTATTTTATTTATCAGAGATCAATTTTCTATTAAAAATAACTCAAACTTCCTTTTTTGTGTGTCTACCCCACAAGGCTGTCTATGCAATTTAGCTATATCATATATGTAAATTTTTCAAAGATAAGTCTTGGTATGTTCTTTTATTCACAATTAAAACTTTAGTTATCTCAATTCCTCACATAAATCATAAACATAATAACACAGACCAAAAACACCATGAAGAATGTGTGGCAAGTGAATGAGGGACCCCAGAAACCACCCTGAGGGGATGGAGGGCCATAGGTGGTTTTCTAAAGGGATTGCCTAAGTTAAGGCTTAAAGTGCTTATAAGCAGAAGTTAGATGGGTTAAAAAAAAGTTGTTGAGTGTTCTCCTTTCTCTAAGCATACATTATAGTAATATAGTGGGCAAAAGGATAACAAAACCTGTTCTCTTGACACATTGTGGTGGTAGAGACAAACAAAAGCATAGGAAATGATTAACTATTTCACACACTGCTAAGTACTCTGAAGGAAAAATAGTGGGGTGATGGGTTGACAGCAATTGAATAGATGAGCAGGGATGGCCTCTATAAAGAGGGGATTTTCTGAACAAAATTATGAATGATATGATGGAGTTAGGTATTTGAAAAATAAAAATTGCGGTATGAACATTGAAGAATGGCAGAACAAGTATAGCAGTCCTGAGATAGAAATAAACCTGAGTGTTCTAGCAACAGCAAGAGGACCAGTGTGGCTGGAGGGAAGTAAGCTGGAAGCTACATTAATTAGTGAATTGAAGATGGTTGAGAGAGGGGGTGCTAGACAAGACCGACATCTATGCATTTATTCATTATTCAACACTCACTGAACAATTTCTGTAAAAATTAATAAGAATAAATTGATGAACAAGACATATTTCCCACTCTCAAGAAATTGCCTAGTGAAGGTGTCTGGAATATTTTGCAACTTCAGATGATCTACTAAGTGATTCCTGAAGGTCAGCCAGAAGTTATCCGGGTGAAATTAAGGAAAAACAGCATCCTAAGCAAAGCAAGTATTCTTAGAAAAAGCCAAGAGATAGCAAAGACCATTATTTGCTGAAATCATTATTTTTATTTGTTGATGACAAAGACTATTACAAATAATTATTGTCAAAAGTACTTAAGTGGTAAACTGAGAGAAGGAAGCTGTCTAAAAGTGCAGTCAGTAATACACAGAAATCAGAATTTGCAGCGACTGTAGGTTTAGTATTCGTGCAACCAGTATCCATTGAGTACCTCAGGCCTTTAGCAGAGAAGATAAGTTTTGGCAGACACTACAGTTTGTGCTTTAGGCCTGGCATGATTGTAGCAGGAGGAAAGTAACTGCCTGAAGAAGTCACGCTATCTTCCAAGTGGATATGATTGACATATTATAATTTGACGACTCCATCCTCAGAAAATGCTTAAGATTTTGAGCTTAGGAAATGAGTAGTTTTTTTATTCCATGACAGTCACTCACATTTACAAATTAACCAAGAGACATTTATTGGGCCCTTCTTTGTCATAATATGTGCTAAGCCCTAGAGGTACAGAAAAATGAAGATGTGCAGACGTATGTATCATATGGAGTTTACAAATTTGGCAGAGATGTAAACAATCTTTTAAACAATTAAAGACTCCTATTTATTTTAAATTATGGTGTAGATCAATCAGTGTATAAGAAAGGGAACAAAATTTAAATATAAATTTGTTGTACTTGGAGCAAAAATGTGTCCGCAGGGCTGAATACAGTACATCTAGCTATGTCCTGCTCGAGAAATAAACAAGATAAAGAGAAATTGAGGAAATGTATTTGTGGTAGGCAGAGTGCACCTTCTCCTAATGATTTCAACATTATAATCCCTGAAACTTGTAAATATATCACTTTACATGGCAAAAGATACTTTGCAGTTTAGTTAACATTCAAAACCGTAATGTAGGCAGAATAGCGAATATTATCCAGGTGAACCAAATCTAATTACATGAGTCCTTAAAAGTAGAGATTTGTTACTGGCCATAGTCAGAGAGAGATAAGATGATAGAATGAAGTCACAGGAGATGCAATGTCCCTGCCTTGAAGATTAAGGAGGGGATCCGTAAGGCAAGAATTGTGGGTTACCTCTAGAACCCAGAAAATTCACAGAAACAGATCTTTCTCTATTTCTTAAAAATGGAATGCAGGCTTGCTAACATCTTGACTTCCAATGAAACCCATGTCATAACTCCAGCTTGCAGAATTGTAAGTCAATACATTTGTATTGTTTTAAGCCAGTAAGTCTTTAATAATTTGTTATGCAGAAATAGAAAACAAATGCAGCATTTCTGACAAAAAATACACAAAAAACAGAGGTTTGGATATAAGCAACATGATGTGTTTATGTTACTCTGCTGAAGTGTGAGACAGTGAATATTGACAGAGAACACAGAGAAAAGCAGGTACTGAATGATGGAAAAGGCTTTGTACATATACAGAGCCTTGCACTATCTTGTAAGTTGCTGCACAAGTATCGAAGCATTTTAAGTTGGTTAAGTTTACATTTTAGAAAGATCTTTCAGATAGCTTGACTGGGAATCCAGGGGAAGTTTTAAACATGAACTAAAACAACAGCAGTGGAAAACCATTGGTAAAGAAGCGTATTAGAGACTTTAGCAAGGGAGGATCTTCACAGTTTGACAACCAAACTTGGTTTAAAATATCTATTTTAAAGGATCATTGTCTAAGAGGGCCACGGCTACTTTCCTAGTCGTGGCAGATAAGCAGCATCCTGGTTTCCTGTTTCAAATTCTCTGTAGCTGCGGTTTTTGAATATTCAGTCACCTGTGCCAAATCCTCAAGACAAAATTCAAATTGTCATTCAAGCCTCCAGTTCCTTTGATAAGCTTTTCTTTCCTGTTTAAGATACTCTTACCCCAGTACTCCAGAGAGACTGCCAAGTCAACCTTAACTGTTTGCCATCCTTCAAATTGTATTTTCAACTGTATATGCAATCTTTTGATTTTTCCATAAAATATTTTCTCTATACATGAGAAAACAGTTTAAAATACAGATTTTAGTGAAAAATATTGTGGTGCCAAATGCCATGTCCAGCAGGAATAAATTTTTAAAAACATATTAGAATGGCTGATTTTTTTTTAAGATGAAAGGAAAGACTAAATCACAGGAAAAAGCTAAACAGCAAAATCATAGGGGGGTTAAAATTATCTTTTAAAATTTATCTTATCTTAGATAAATGTGCGAATTTTCTGTAAATTACATGCTAGTTTTGTAACAAAGAAATAACAATAACAGCTAAATGATTCCGTTCTCTCCCTGCCTATCCTGAGTCATTACTTACAACAGGATTATTGTGCTTTCTCCTGTCAATCTTCCTCATCTTTCTCAAATTCAATCCATCTTGCTCATGCTTATAGGCACACTCTTCTTTAAATTTATCATGCAGAGACTAAATTGGCATTTCAATACCTCCTGAATTTAGACTTTTCAAATCCTTTCTTAAGTGCTCCAAAATCTGGTTCACTTATCTTATGCAAAACTATCACTTGCTTATTTGTTAAATTATACTTTCTATTCTAATCAGATCGGCATCCTTCATAGTTGCTATGTGCTCTGCTATTTTACCTTTCCTTGATAACACGAGATTAGACTTTGTATATCATCTGTACTTTTGATAGATACTAATTGAATGATAATCTCAGTCTGCCCTAATTTTATTAATTCTTTATGGGCTGACTTAAGTCCAGCTGCTTCATCATATAAGTGTTTTGTTTCCACTCCTCTTAAAATGTTAATTAAACCTCTATATTTTATCTATGTCTTGACTATTTTTTTCTATTCTGTTAAATTATATTCTCAACTTTATTATAAATTCTGCACTACACAGCTTTTCAGTTCCTTCCTCTAGTCCTTCATTTGTGACTTCTGTGGCATTAAACACATAGCAAATGCCAGTAAATGCTTACTGGTTGATAATGTATTACCTAATTATTCACGTTCTTATTTCCCACATATGTTAAGCAACTTCCCCAAGATCTTGTCCCAGATTTGTCGAGTCTTTACACAGTACACAATGGGGTTCATAAGGGGTGGCACCAAAAAGAACATATCTGCAATAAGGATCACAGCAAAAGGGCTTTTGTCCTTGGCAAAGCGGTGCATGGCAGCCAGGGTGATGATGGGCACATAGAAGGTGAGCACAGCACAGATGTGGGAGACACAGGTATTTAGGGCCTTAAACCTCTCTGCCAAAGATGCAATGCTGAGTACAGTCTTCAAGATCAGCACATAAGACAAAAGAATCAATGCCAAGTCCAGCATGGTACAGAGAGCAATGAAGAAGCCATAGATGACATTGATCTTGTTGTCAGAGCAGGCCAGCCTCATGGTATCCTGATGAAGACAGTATGAGTGAGAAAGAAGATTCTTTTGACAATATTTTAATCTCCTTAGGGTGATGGGAAATGGAAGCACTAAGAGAATGCTCCTAATGGCTAAAATAAGTCCCATTTTAGCAACCCTGTTGCTAGTGAGGATAGAACTGTATCTTAAGGGGTTGCGAATAGCAAGAACGCGGTCCAAAGATATAATTAGAAGTACTGAGGATTCCATGACAGTGAATCCATGAATGAAGAATTCTTGAGCAAAGCAGGCATTTGGTGAAATTCTCATGGCATTGAACAAGAAGATCCTCATCATGGTAGGAAGGGAGGAGAGGGACAGGCCCATGTCAGAGACAGCCAACATGGCAAGGAAATAATACATGGGCTCATGAAGCGAGGGCTCTGCCTTTATGATAAAGAGAATGGTGCAGTTGCCCATGATGGCAATCAGGTACATGAGGTAAATGGGGATGGAGAACCAAATGTGGACATGTTCCAGTCCTGGGATCCCAATCAGAAGGAAAAGCTTGACTTCAGAGTTATTGAGATCAGACATGATGAGGCATATATGAGCTCATTAGCCAGATCTGAAACCATGTAAATGAAAAGCAGTCATGCTTTTGGTTAAAACTCAGTTTTGTGGGGATAAGGGGTTCATTCATATACTATACTCAAAAGCACATTTGGCTGTTAATCAACTGCACTCTTCAAAATTTACCAGAAGCTCTTAAGCATGTTCATATTCTCCAGCATGGTAAATTCACTTCTAACAACTTGGCCTAAGTTGGTGACTTTTTACATTATTTTTTTTTTAGATGGAGTTTTGCTCTTGTCACCAGGCTGAAGTGCAATAGTGCAATCTCAGCTCACTGCAACCTCCGCCCTCCAGGTTCAAGCAATTCTCCTGCCTCAGCCTCCGGGGTAGCTGGGATTACAGGTGTGTGCCACCACGCCTGGCTAATTTTTGTATTCTTAGTAGAGATGGAGTTTCACCATGTTGGCCAGGCTGGTCTCAAACTCCTGACCTCAGGTGATCCACCTGCCTCAGTCTCCCAAAGTGCTGGGATTACAGGCATGAGCCACCACTCCCGGCCCTACTTGTTAAAATTTCTAACCAAATATATAAAACATATCAAAGTGGAGCTTCTTTGAAACGGTAATAAGACGCTTAGAGTCTTTTCTGCTCCTTTTTCCATGGTCTTCAGCAGTACCCATATTGGCTTCAAAATAAGATCTCTGAGCTTTATGTAGAAAGTTTGAAAGAAATGGTCTAAGAACTGTAATCCCAGCACTTTGGGAGGCCAAGGCGAGCGGATCACAACGTCAAGAGATCGAGACCATCCTTAACAATATGGTGAAACCCGTCTCTACTGAAAATACAAAAAAATTAGTTGGGTGTGGTGGCGCACGCCTGTAGTCCCAGCTATTCGGGAGGCTGAGTCAGGAGAATTGCTTGAACCCAAGAGGCGGAGGTTGCAGTGAGCCAAGGTCACACCACTGCACTCCAGCCTGGCACCTGGTGACGGAGTGAGACTCTGTCTCAAAAAAAAAGAAATGGTCTAAGAAAATATTCAGAGATCACTGCAAATATTTGGAAAATATTACGTATTAAATGCTATAAAGTAAGTTTATAGATTACCTCTTATACTTAATAGGTAGGTACTTGTGCACATTTCACACATGAGTAAATATATCTGTTATATCAAGTGTTATATAACAATAAACACAATGATTTCTGTTCAAACACATTTGCCCTTTGTTTGACTTTAACTTATTTAACTTATTTGGGCCTTATTTTAAATCTGTAAAATGAATGCAATTTTGGTATGTTTTGATGATTATAGATGTTTATGAAATTCCAAACACAGTTCTAGGTTTATAAACCACAAACAAGTTTCTATAAATATTAACATTGGTTACACAGTAGTTTCCAATAGAACATGTTGGAGAAATAAAACAGTGGATGAATCCTTCGGAGTTATATATCCTTATTTCTTCATGATATATTCATGTATTAAATGTGATATTTCATAGCCCAAACACTTATGATTCACGCTTCATGTTATCATTTTATTTCAAGAAACAATTTGAAGCTTTACAGCAGTATTGTGTGCGTGTTTATCTTATCTATTTTGATTGGATTTTATCTCATATCTCTGTATTTAGTCATAGAAATTAGTCAAATAAATGCATATTTAGTCAAATAAATTCTAAATGAAAAAAATCCAAACCACCCAATTTTGTTTGAAATATAGAGTTAAAAATTTACCTACATAATAAACTGAACCTGGTTTTATTTTAGACTCTTTTAAAAAATATACAAGTTATATTTTCAGAAGTAAAATATGCAATCTTGCAACTTATCCTCAAGTTTTTGGCCTTCAAGATAAACAGGTCAATACTGGTAAAACTGTCAGAGAAAAACATATCTCTAAGATAAACATTATATATTCCAGCTATTATTTAATAAGCTTTCTAAGTAAATGCATAAATAAAAATTATGAAATTAATAATTTCAATAAAAAATAGCAAAAATACAAAAGCTGAAGGTAGAGCCAATGGAAAGCTAGAGAGAACAGGACATGGTATCCTCACTCCAGAATTTTTTAAACTTCAACTTGCAAGAGAAAAATGTCATTAGTCATCAGTGGAGAACATAGGGGCACTGAAAATTTATTGAGCTCCTTTCTATGAAAACTTAACTGTGAATTTATATTGTATATTGTGATTTTTTTAGGATAATTTTAAAAGTACATAGTAAATAACAAGCAGTCCTGGACCAATATATTTAACTTTTTCTAGGTACTGTCTTCTAAGAAACTTTTGAGAACACATGGACACAGGGAAGGGAGCATCACACATGGGTCTGTCGGGGGAAACAGGGGAGGGATAGCGGGGGGTGGGGAGTTGGGAAGAGATAGCGTGGGGAGAAATGCCAGATATAGGTGATGGGAAGGAAGGCAGCAAATCACACTGCCGTGTGTGTACCTATGCAACTATCTTGCATGTTCTTCACATGTACCCCAAAACCTAAAATTCAACAACAACAACAAAAAAAAAACAATATTTTGGCAGCTTGTGAATGGATCTGCATCTTCTACATGGAAAAAGCCTTGAATAGTTTGAACTTTAATCTCCCACCATGTTAGTGAACCTAAGCAAAACACAGGATAGGTATATTGTAAAGGTGGTAGCAGATTGTGAGATGTCATTAAAGCCATTCTCCTGGTATACGTTGGACTATGCTTTCTTACCAGCACTTAACTTGGAGTTCTTTTTTTTCCCCATTTTGCTGAGGGATATTGATTTAGATCTTCCAGAGAATGCATCTGTCATGCATCTTTTATTATAGAAGATTCTGCAGTGTTTTATAACGTACTACTTTCATGTAACTCTATCCTACCCAACTCCACTACTACCATACATATTGACTATTCAATGTTAAAGGTCTGGAAAAGGTTGTATTTATCCTCATGTATCTGTCATCAATATCAATATAATATAATATGTGGAATATAAAAGGCTCTCAGCAAATATGCAAAGAATGAATGTGAATGGAAGGAATATAAATATGTAGAATCATTTTAGCACCTTCTCCCTTTTCTTCTGTGGCAGGAACTAAGGGATATTGATGTCCATTCCTCTCATATTTTCAATGGTAAACTCATTATTACACTGAGTATGCATTTGGATGTGGATGAACTTCAGAAGAGATAGTTCAACAAGGCTGTTTGTTCAGTAGTACTGATAGATGATAGATGATATCTGAAACCAAAGAGTAAATGAAATCATATAGTAATACAAAACTTAAATCCCATTGAACACTGAGGAGCAGGAAGATTGTTGAGAGCATGTTGCAAAGGAATATTCAGAGAGGCAGAATATAGTAGATGCCAAAAGAAGGGAATGTTTCAAGGAAGGCAGTCCACAGATCAAATATTGCCCATGCCATTTAGAATTGCTATTCTTTAAGGCAAAAACAGTTCTCCAACTAATGCACAGACAGCTTGGTATAAATCTCAGCTTGGCAATTTACCCTGTGCAAACCCAGGAAAGCTGCTTAAGCAGATGTTTGCTCTTCTGTGAAATGTTGTAAACAATGGTACCTACCTCAGACTTGTGTTAGACTGTCTGATACAGTTTCTAACATGATAAAGATAATCAGTAAATACCAGTGACAAATAACTATTTCAACAAAATTTCCCAGCCATTCCCTCCAGACATCAAGTCTTAGACTGGAAGATAGTAATTTGTATTTTTTAATTGACCATAAAGCTTGCTTTTATTTGTCATATTATTAAGTAATATAGGTCTCTACCAATATTAGGGTATTAGAAAAACACTCCAATATTTAACCTTCCTATTTAACCCTCAGGCCATAATATATTTTCTCTCATGTATGCACACACACTGAAGCCACTTACTCTTCCTCCTCATAGACATGCATTCAGATATAAACTGTTTAGTGAAACCTTAGATTTAGGCTTCCAAAAGGATTTACAGCTCCTTAAACTTACCAGAATCAGATGCTCAGTAAGTTCCGGAAGGATAAAAGCAAGAACTCTCCACTTTGACCTTCACTTTACCTAGATGTACCTATTTCTCTTTTCCTACTCCTCTGTTGGAAACAAAAATATAATTTATTAACAGCGTAAAATACAAAATAATAGTGCAATTTTTAATGTTGGTATAACTACTACTAATAATAACAGAAGGTTGTCCAGGCAGAATAAAATGCCCATTAATGGAAAAACAAAATCGTGGAGAATAAAGAAAATATGTAGTCAAATATGAACAAATAGGATCACAAAAATATTAATAGCACTGTCATATAAATTTTAAGTACACGTAGAGTTTAAAATGCATGCCAACAATTACACAAAGGGCAAAAGGAGATAAATATATCTGAAATATCTTACATTTCTAACGCTATCATATGTGTGTGTACTGTTGATGCTCTGCCCAGATGTCCTTCACTAGAGTGGCTCATCGATGTTACAGATGCTGTGAATATTGGCTGATAATTGCTCAAACCTGTTTCTACCCTATTCCCTGAGGATTACCCTGAGCCTACTGGGATCTGCCTTGCTTAGAAAGCTATGTTCCACACCTTGGGGGAACCAGTGGCAAATGACTTGCTGAATCTGAGATGCAAAAGTCTGTCCTCTTGCCTCAATATTAGACAAATTCTGTGGTTCAACCTATGTTTTAGAGCTCCTTGTAAGACCAGGCTGACATCATTCACAAAGCAAAAACATTTCATTGCTCGTCTTTCATCTACTGTCCTATTGCACCTTCTTTATTCCCCTTATTTTGAAAGCACCCTTTTAGTAGATCATTTTCACAAAAATCTCCATCATAGGTTCTGTTCCTGGAGAATCCAACCTAAGCCAGTTGACACCAGGAAAGATTCTAAAAAACAGATTGCCAAGAAGAAAATTCTGGAGGTGGATTAATCACTGTATGCATCACAATAAGTACCACATCACTGGTTAAAGATGAAATGTTGATGGTCCCTGACATGCTGTAGCAACTTATTGTTAAAACTGTCATCTGAAGTGAACTGAGATAGCACTCAGAGGAAAGA